GAGTGTGAGTAGTGTTGATATTGCAGTACGAGCTGGAGCTATCCTCTTATCAGTAGCGGCGTGGCGTAGAGGCCGCCACTAAGCACAACGTCATGTACTATGCTAGAGAACTGGAGTATGCTGGAATCGTCTTTGCGCTGGCAAGGCTGAACAAATGTGGCGTCATGCTTGCAGCCAACCAAATGCAGCGTCACGCATTCACCCCTCACCAGCGTTGAAAGGCTAGCCTCAGCCTTGTGTTGAATATCAGCCTGTTAGATAAGAACTGGTATTCTCCGCGTTCTTGGTTGTAATCACTAACGCAGCTCTTACTACCTTCCACCACTTGAAACAGTTTCCGATATCTAACTTCGTCATGGTAAACGTGACAGCCGCTTCCGTTGCAGCTACGGCGCAGCCTCTCATCGACTGGGTAGCAGCACACCCGGGCCAAGCAGTTCTCTACACAGTCAACGGCGTTGTTCTTCTTGCGCCTGCTGCCGCCACTGCACCCATCTTCGCTGCGTTTGGGTTGACTGCTCTAGGACCTGCCGGTGGTACGTCGGCCCGAACTCGTACTCATACTACTATATACTAATAGACAACAGGTTCCCTTGCCGCATCTACAATGAGCTACTTCGGTTATGTCCCGGCAGGCGGCGTGTATGCCCTGGCACAGAGTGCTGCCATGGGAGGGTATGGCGCTGGTCTCGCTGCTGGGGCTGCACAAGCAGGTGCGGTGGTCAGCTCTGGGCTCACCTGGTTCATGGGCAGAAATAACACTGGTGCCTAAAAAGCCATCATTTGTGAGCGGTTGCTGGAGTCGAGCAACAGATAATCAGGAGGTCGATTTGGAGCACGTGAGAGGAATCATACAGTGTGAGATGCGAGCAGCAAGGTAGATGGACCAATGGTGTTGCTATTAGTACTCTAGTAGTACCGTAACCTCGGCCTGGGATCCTTCACGCCAAGATGGCGAGATAGCGAGACACCGAGACAAAGGCCTCCCAGGCGTCCTTCTCAAACCTGCTATAAACACATTACACCTATACTAGACACGCCAAAAAACATCAAATCATCAATAGACCAGCACAAACCCCACATGTAACTTTTTGTTTTATCCATCTAAAAACTACAAACACTACATATCCACAGCCATGGCAACTCCAACTCCCCCAACTCCCCCAACTCCCCCGGAGCCATCCAAGCCTCTCTCGGAATTTGAAAAGATCGGCCACAACATCTACATCTGGACCTCGGAATCCTACCTCTCCAACTCACCCTCAGAAACCCCGCTCATACTCCTCTTCGCATGGAACGCCGCAGCCGGAAAGCACATCGCCAAATACACAATAGCATACCAAAAGCTGTTCCCTACATCCCGCATCCTCCTCATCCGATGCTACACGCTCGACATTTTCCGCCGGTCCACAGCCTACGGACCTCTGCTCAAGCCCGCCCTGGACGTTGTAGCCGCGCACGCCGACAACGGCGGCCAAGTCCTGGTGCACAGCTTCTCCAACGGCGGCGGCAACCAAGTCAATGAATTTGCCAAGGCGTGGAAAAGAAAATTCGACACCAAGATGCCGATGCGCGCGCAGATTCTCGATTCGAGCCCGACTAAAGGTCCCTGGATGAAGAGTCATGCTGCGATTTCCGCCTCGTTGCCCAAGACGCTGTTTTGGCGGTGGTTTGGCGGCGCGCTAGTACATCTTTTGATTCTGTTGACGTGGATAGTCGTGTTTGTTCGGCGCAGGGAGAACAAGATGGTTGTCCTCTGTCGGGAGTTGAATGATGAGAATGTATTTGATAATCGCGTGCCGAGAGTGTATCTGTACAGTTGTGCGGATACGATGGTAGGGTTTGAAGAGGCAGATGAGCATGCGGACATTGCAGAGTCCAAGGGGTGGGATGTGACGAAAGTGCAGTTTGAGAATAGTGCGCATTGTGGGCATATACGGGAGGACGCGGAAAAGTATTGGGCTGCGGTAATAGCAGCTTGGACGAAGGGGCCCAGATGCAATTTGTAGCCATCAGCGAGTGAGCGCATAGGATCGATGGCGTAGCATGGTGCAGAGCAAAGCAGATGTATTTCGGATTAGAGAATATCTAGAGCCGCGCCGCTACCAGTGATAGGTAGATGTTCCACAGTAGACCACAGAAACTCAAGAAGACGATACGGCGCTCAACGGGAATGAAGGTGGTGCTGAAGAAATTGGCAATTGGCCAGACTTTGTACGAATCGAAGATGAGGCCGAAAAGCTCCTGGTAAGTAGTTAGTAATCTGCAGCAGTGTGGGGTTTCACGTCTTGATAAACCTACATTTCTAAAGTCCTGGACAATCAATGCCACAGTTTTACCCTTCATGATTCCAATCAAGATAAGGAACATTGACTGGTTCAGCAACGCGCCCATGGTGATACACTGCATCTCGTTAGCACCTAGCCATTTCTGTAGCGACTACGCTACGACGAGTCATTTGTGACCACCTACATCGGTAAACCATTTTCTAAAGATGTTCCACCAATTCCTCACCCGGACCTCCTCTTCGATGATACCGCGACCATCTCCATCCTCCTTGAGCATGATGCCCTTTTCCTCCTCGCCGTCTCCCACTGTCCTTGTCTGTTTCACCGTCTTCCACCCAGGGAACGCACGTTCAAGCCAGTTCTGCCAGTGGTAGTTTACCGGCGCAGTAAGAACGACCATGATGGCGAATTGTGTGAAGAGGACACGGTCGAAGACGAAGGGCTTGGATTCGTTCCATGCTTTGAGGCGCTGCGCAATGATGTTGCTGCAGGAGTCTATTACGAGCGCGGAGAGACAGGCCGTCGCAATCGGAGGGAGCTTCATGATGGCGAAGGGAAAGTCGGTTCGAACGTTGGGAGAGGTAGTGGAACGTGGACAAGGTAGCAAAACGAAAGCCACAAGCTGATAAGCACGAGCTGTTGCGATCAACAGTGCTGGGTAAACACCGAGGCAGGCCGACGTTCAGGCAAAGTTGTCAGGATCGATTGGAACCAGAAGAAGTTGTCTGGGATGGAAGAGAATGTTGGGATTAGGGTGACGGATTACCGTCTGACCTTGGATGTGCCGTCGCGCTCGACTCCACATTTCTTGGTGTTGCTTATTGCGCGTCACTTCGGTTCATCTGCGGCCGAATCAGATGCAGCTTGGGACGGATCGCAACTGACTCAACCTCGCCAGCTGCAGTTGTACCAACTTTGTTACTTCACCAACATACCTGCAGCCATGGATTGATTCCTCTACAAAAGTACTTAAGCTTGTATTTTCATATATCCGTAAGATTTGAAGTTCGTGACACGGTGCTGTTCTCGCAGCACCAAATAGACCTCCTCTACTATCCCGGATCTGAACACTGGACGTAGCTGTGAGCATGTTGTAATCTAAGCAGTGTACTTGTCGCACTTATTAAGCACCCATCTTTTGTTTCACAGCATACAGTCACCGAGAGATGTGCGGGTTATGGTCTTATAGCATGAGGCCTGCATAAATCTCTCTCGTGGACCTACCCGACAAGCCATAGCACACTGGACGCGAATGTCACCTTTTCAGTCGCCAACGCGCACTTACACCTGCCATCCTCTAGTGTGAAACTCTGGTCTGCACGCACTGGCAGCTCAAGTCGCTAACACATGCCCAGCGCCAGGCTAGAAAACACTGAAATTCATATACTATCTAATAGTCGCTATTTGACATGAACAAATTTACATGTAGTAGTATCGAATGGTGAATATCAGCATGGACCTACTAGTAAGGCATGGACGTCAATTTAACATGTAACGACCACTTGACACGTCCATAAGAACATGGCGAGTGCTCGCCTTAGCACCTATCAGACTATAAAAAGACATAACATTATGCTCTACTAGGATGAGCCTTGAAGACCAAATGCAATCTTCAACGCAACCCCATGATGAGACTATGCCCATAGCGTAGCCTAGGATAGTAGAACTATTGCATCCCTGTCATCGGTCAAGAGTCTCTTCCGCCGAAGCATGATATAAAAAAGTACCAAGTTTTTTTTTATAATCTAGGTGATGGATCCCATGACTTTATCATAGCAAAGGCAACAATCTAATCGGATCCTGTTTGGAAACATGCTGATGCTATTGCCAAGGGCAACCGAAGGAGAACAAGAGTTCTTTAGCTTCCGCGTAGCTTATTTGAGTTGGAGATCTTGGCAAGCCTTGTTCAGTTGTTGTATAGTGAAAACAATGATATAAACAAACTACCAAGACGCAAAACATGTTCTTTATTAGTAGCCGTCGTTTTGATTGCTTGCATCCGATCGCCAAGAGGCGACAAGTGGGCCCGGTAAAACATGGTGCCGGGCCCACTTTAAAGTTTTTAGCTTCGTCCAGCTCGATACAAGATCAGCTCTTCTTCATCTTCTCCCAACAAACTGCATGTCGCTCTTCGCGTCTCAACGCGGACTAACTAATGCCAGCAGCACCTTTGCGCTCTGTAGCCGCTTTCGTAAGTCTTACTACTTTTTTCTTCCGACTCCCTGCCCCCTACACCATGATGAAAACCATTCCACATTCGCAGTTTCCACGCTAGCCATCGATTGAACCTACTTTAGATGGTCAATGAGCGCGAATACCTTCCTTGGATGTCTGATCCGCTTCGCACATATACATGTTGTCTTGACAAAGTTTCTGGGCTGTTGCTAACGGAAGCTGTAGATTGTAGATTGTCCGCGCCTTCTCGTACTAGAGAAATGATCGTCGAGTTCGGAAACTCAAATGTCAACGGTCGCATTGTCACGGCACAAGATTTGGAAAGCATATATAAATGGAGTATACATTTGTTCATTCAAAACTCAGATAATTACTACCAAGAAATAATCCCATTCTCTTTCTTCATCTCTTCACTCCTAGCCACCAGTGGCTTTTGATTGTCATGATGCGTATTACCGGCCGCACCCAAAGACGTCTGCTGTTCTATGATATGCTGATGAGGGTATCAAATATGCTTTGCACTCTTGTATCGGTCGCTTAGAGCATGAAGAATGTAAAGGCACCAGCCAGACCAGCGAACAGGGCACTGCCAGCAACGTGAGAGGCAGCACCGGTTGATTGCGGTGCGGATGCGGATGAGGATGCGGAGGAAGAAGGTGAGCCAGATGGTTCGGTTGATGTGCTGTTCTCGCTCTCAGTCAGGTTGCCGCCAGTACCAGCGGTGGATGACGGTGAGACGTTGCCAGTGGCAGCCTTTGCAGCAGTCTTGAAAGCCTCGAGTGTCCTAGCACCAGATTGACTAAAGAATGTTAGTGATGGGAAACTTGTGAAACACTGACAGTTGTGACTTACGGAGCGTTGATGACACCGACCATGCCGTTCTGGCAGTGCATGCCCTGGGTGCAGTAGAACCAGATGGGAGCCGAAGCGTTGGTAACCTCGTATGTGAAAGTGGTCGTGGCAACCTTCTCGGCATCGGAAGTAGGCACGAATCCGGACCAGAAGCCGTTGGACATGGGCTGGCAAGGGTTGGCAAAGGTGGCCTGGGCGACAGAGTGGTTCTTGGGCCAGAACTTGAAGGTGACGGTGTCACCCTCAGCAGCCATGATGCTGTCGGGCTTGAAGACCAGGTTGCCAGCCTTGTCACCAACGGCGATAGTGTGCTCGGCAGCGAGAGCGGCGCCAGCCATGGCGGAAGCAGTGAAGATGGTGGAGAAATGCATTATGATTGGTTGAGATGGAAAGAGACTAGCTCGTTTTGGCGATTAAGATAATGCGTGAGAAGGGTTGGGATATGAGATGGAATGTAATTGGTACTGAGAAGTGAAGAACGTGGACCTGCCTACCAAGAAAAGTCTGGAGATGAGCACATTTGCGAAGGTTATATAGCATGGAGGTGGAAACGCTTGCCGCCCACGAAGCGGGAAAGTCGGCCTGCGCAGTCAAGGGCATGAAGCCTTCGAAACCCCAGGCGTCACAAAGGCATCCTTTTCTTAGCGCCTTAGCCATCTAAACACGATTCCGGGGAAACATAGGGGTGGACGCAGGGCATGGCTACTGGCCCCTTCGGCGCTTCAATTCAGCCACTCGTCGCCCGGAAATGCCTTTTGGGCGCGTGGCCGTGTGGCTGTGGCAGTTTGGGGGCTACGGGTACTGCAAGTAGAGAGGCGTAAGCGCTGCTTTTCGCGGCAGTCATGTTTCTGACCAAGGGATGAAACCTGGCCGTGAACCATGATGGAACAGAAGATGTTTTGGATGCCTGCGCACGGACACGCAAACGGCTGCCACCTGGATGACATGCAATTCGACGGGCATGACAACGGCTCATGTTAAACGTCGCCGCGTCCAGAGCGGACATGGCATTACATGCCCAAGTACATAACTACCAGGCCATCGCGAGTGATAACTGACAGTCGTTGCTCCAGACGTAGGAAGTCCGTGGGAATTGCGGAACATGCGACAGAAGGCAGAACTTCTCGTCCGGGCTCCTCCTACCACGACAACAGCTGACATCGGCCGAACATGTCGAATGGCAAGACTCCACGTGTTGTCGGACCATGTGCTCACATTGTTTGTCGGTAGCAGAAAAAGGTCACAAGTCGGGGTTCTGGCTGCACTGTACCATGACGGAAACCGAGGGGAATGAGAGGGTAATACGAGGAAGCCGTATAGTACGAGGATCCACCATCACGAAGAGGAGAATCTTCCACCGACTTCTGAAGACGAGGCTGCACACAGGGCGTGTGCCCATCCGTGCGATCCAGAGGGTTACTTAGTTAGTCTTCGGCGGTGAGGATGGAGAAGGTCTTTCAAGGGTGCCGTTGCTAGCAGCTATAGGCTTGGCCACGGCAAGTCAGTCAGTCCACCACCCAACAATAGCCTTTCAACCATGTACCTCACCACACAGCAGTACCACGTTACCAGCGCTAGTAGTAGTAAGCATTGGTCGCATAGCCATGAGATGTAGTATTTGTCCCCGTATTCCGTCTTACAGTCGCCTCTCGCCGCTTGTCAAGAGCCGAAGAAGTCCCCTTTTTGCGCGATGACATTGGATCGCATCTGGGAGGCAGTCTTGAATGCGCCACGAGCGCAGGTGGGGTGCAGGATCATTTTATTGATCGCTGCCAACGAATGCCTGTTGCGGCAAGACACAATGCATCAATCCGATAACTTTGGCTGTCTAGCTCGCTTGTCCTGCTCATCTCAGCTAGCGCAAGCCCTTCCCGTTGCGGGTCATCCAAAAATATCACCTTTCTCCGCAGCACCTCTCGTGTCCATTGTACGCTATGATCTCATTCATCTATTTTCCTAGAAATCCCGCCACTCCATGGTCAGATGGTCGTACTCTTGCAGTTAGTATAGTGGGCAAGGTAGGCTAGACCTGGCAGTCTGCTCGCATTCCGCCCTGCACCGCCCGTGCCCAACTGGCAATGTAACGGGAATTCACTAGTCGTGTAACGGGGAGGAGCGGAAAGCTATGCAGTGGTAGAGTGGAGGCATCGTCAAGTCAATTGCTATAAAGGACATGCAAGTCACTCGTCCAGAGTATCATCACCAGCACTCAGCTTCCATCACCACTACAACATCTAATAACCACTCTTCAACTCTCCACCTTAATCTAATCACCAAACCACCCAAAACCATCACCATGAAGTTCTTCTCCGCCGTCTCCGCCGCCGTTCTCGGCTTCTCCAGCATGGCTTCCGCCATCACTGGTCAGTAGTACTCTTACAGAGCACTATGGAAACTTGAATACTAACTCCTCACAGTCAGCTACGACCCCGGTTACGATGATGCCGGCCGCTCCATGAACGTTGTCTCCTGCTCTGACGGAGCCAACGGTCTGGCCGCTCGCTTCCCCACCCAGGGCAGCCTTCCTCGCTTCCCTCTCATCGGTGGTTACCAAGGCATTGCTGGCTGGAACAGCCCTCAGTGCGGTACCTGCTACGGTCTCACCTACAACGGCAAGACCATCTACGTCCTTGCCATGGACCACACTGGCGCCGGCTTCAACATTGCCCAGGCTGCCATGAACCAGCTCACCAACGGCCAGGCTGCTGCCCTCGGCCGCATCGACGCTCAGTACCAGCAGGTCGCTGTCAGCAACTGCGGTCTTTAAATCATGAGCTTTGTGCACCATTACACAAAAAGAATAGACAAGATGGAGAGATGACGGCGACGAATATGCGATAATGTTTATATTGGCTTTGAATACTTGGCATAGCGCTTGCTTCATACAGCATACGATGGCGTTTACTGTATATACACACTCCTTGGTACCATAATTGAAATAGTAATATAATTACTCACGAAATGGCTGGTTCAGTTTGCAATTTGATATGAATCTGACTAACATGAAAGCTACAATCAAGTCGGTCTTGGAGTTGAGAATGAGGAGAAGGATCGTAGGAGCACCTTTATATTTCGCATCTAAGTCGAAAGAGTGACTAAGATAGGAGTTCCTGAGAGCAAACCTCATAGCAATTGAAATATGGTTATACGAAAGAAAAAACAAGAAAGAACATGAATAGCAATAGCTATTAGAACTAAACCGGTCATTGAATCTCTCCATTCTCTGAAAGCGATGGCAAGGGTATCCAACCCAACCACCAAACCACTACAGGAGGCAAAAAAGAAAAGAAAAGAAAAGAACAGCAGACACGTATCACTATCAGATAACCCCAAAAAACAGGGACTGCATCTCTACATCCACAAATCAAAACAAAACAACGCAAATTTTTTCTAGTCTTAGCCAACAACCCACCGCAGCAAGAGGAAAGAAAAGAAAATACGAGGGAAAAAAAGTAAACCACACCGTTGACGTAGCAGCAAAAAAAAGCAACCAAACCCACACCCCAAGAAACAACGCATACCGAAGAACAAACCAGACCGCCCCATCTCGATTGGGTACAAAGAGAGCATCACGCAGCTACGAAGCTTTCACCAAGCCCGAGCCGAGTAATGCTTAATTTGTCGAACAAGCAAAAAAAATATCGATGCATTGTTTCATTTGGAAAAGAAAAAAAAATGTCGCGCCTGCATGACCAGATCATACACCCCCACCCCTGATCCCTGGGTCGTTTTTGCTCTCCGCATTGATAACGTAGCATGTGCGTTGTCCAACGTGTGATTGCTGCATGTGCGGAATGAACCGTTTTCTATGATAAAAGCAAAGGGTTCAGTATTCACATATGTGTGAATGTGTGTAGTTTATCAAGCGTCTCTCTCTCTCTCTCTCTCTTTGGTACTTTGTTTAATCTCATTTCGCGTCTTACCAAGACACTTAACTAACGTATAGATTACAAGTTTTTTTTTGTTGTTGTGCTAGTATTCAATCGGAGCTATATCCTCTACCTCTTACATCACCATCAATATTGCGGTGCAAACATGACCACGGTCCATACAAACCTACTACTAAAAATGGTGTTTCTATAAGATCTGACTTATGTAGTATAGATAGTTACTAGCGTAAAGTCACACATCAACTAGGAGCGCATTCCGTTCCCCTTTTGCGTTCCTCGTTATCTTTACCCCAATATAACACGCATACCTAATCCTCCTGCATGGCCGCACTAGCACTATAGAAACCAACGTGAATCGCGTAAGGCGAGAACGTTCCAGAGAAGATAAGGAATGCGATAACCCTAAAGGGGGGGGCGGGTTAGGGGGACTGAGGCTGAAAGTACTAGTGCTATAGCTAGCTACTTAGTTGCATTGTACTAACATCTGCAATCGAAAAGGAGAGATAGAGAGAGAGAGAGAGGGCAGGGCAAGGGCAAGGGCAAAACCCCCCCCCTCCCGGTGGAAATCTGGTACGCAATGCGCCATTAGATCCATACTTCTACTTCCCTGGGTAGATTGTATACCTAGAATAGCGTTTAAACCGTTTGGAACCGAAACGTCAAACCCAATGATATCGGTGGAGCAAAAGAGTTGCATACATCTGGGGTCTAGAAAAGGCGGAGAAAAAAAGAAGAAGAAGAAGAAGAAGATCAGGACAAGGAAGATCCTTCCTTTTTGTTCCTACACTACCATGTCGTCGGGCCATGTACGTGGCAGAAGAGGGCGTCATCTAACGTCATTACATGTGGCAAAGGCGAAGACCTAAAAAGGGGAGGGGGAGACAGAGATCGAGAGGTTGTAAAGGAACCAAAAAGTGGTGTGTGTGACGTATATAGTGATGTTATTTGGGTCACAAGCCTATTCCAAGGTTACTCGGCCGGTCTCTTCTTTCCCTAAGTCATCATAATCACTAAACCCTTCCCCCTCTTTCTAAGTAGTAGCAAACAAAAGTAGGTATCTATGGCGAAAACCAGAAACAACCCCAAAAAAGAAGGATGGGAAAAAAGACAATTCTTGGTATATTGCTGGTAGAACTTTTGAGGAGTGAGAGAGATTCATGGGTGTTTGCGTTTCCATCAATCTCAAACAGCTACGGCCTGCATAGCAGATCGAAGACCTTACGGTCATGGTATCTATTAAGAAAACAGAGGAGCAAAAAGCCCATGTTAAAAAAAAGGGAAAACATGGGAAAAGAAATGAATGTTTGTTTTGTCTAGACGTGACGAGGTGATGAGGCGAGTAATCGACCAAGACTACCGCTGGCAACTGAGGGTTCGGGAACGGGTGACTTTGCGTAGACAATCTCGCCTTCGATGGTGCTGACCGAAGTCCTGGATACGGCGGGTGACTTGTGCGAGTACGACTTGGGACTTGAAGGAGCAGTCACAGGTGTGACAAGATCGATCGACTTTCCTCCTCCATATGATCCGTTGCGGGACGGCTTGGTCCTAGGAGGAAGAGGGCGCGTGGTAGCTGGGGTATATGGCAGCGAGTAGCTTACTGAAGAAGCCGGAGTATGTGACAGCGAAGGGGCAGCGCTAGTGCTGTACTGTGATGTTGATGCACGGTTGTAGCGGGGTCGATAGGCTCGCATGTTATCAGGTGCATAAGTGGGTGCCGATTGAAACTTGCGCAAGTATTTTGATGCGTCGGACTGATACCGGTCATCGGTGTTGTCATCCGATGATACATCGGAGAAGGCACATGACGAGCGTTTTGAGTCGGGCTGGGTGGGGGAGCGCTGGGGAACAATGTCACGGAAGGCAAGGTCATCAAAGGTGAAGTTTGCGAAAGGAGTGGTTGGCGGCGAGTAATGATCGTAGTAGTAGTTGAGGCTCTTCTCCGCGTCTTTTTTCTTGCAGCTGTGTATACAGGTTAGCAAAGGTGGTCTGTGCGCGATGGGGCTGTCAGGACGAGGGTGTCATCATCATACCTTTCTGAGCAGTAGAGCACGGTGTTGCTTGGAACAACAATTTGCTTCTCGCAAACAGTGCTGCATGAGAAGGTTAGTATATTGTGGGCAATCAAGAATAGAGTAGGGGTAAGTAGAGGACATACCAGTAGTTCAAGAAGCTCACTGCCATTGAGTCTTCGTCGTCGTCGTCGACGGCGAGGTCGGCGTCTTTGGAGGGAGCGACTTTGGAAGCAGCCTTGGTCGCGTGGGATTGCACGCGCTTTGACAGAGGCCGAGAGGGCCGTGCGTGCGGCGGCTGCGACTTCTTGGATTGATGGGACAGGTGACGAACGTGATGCGTGGCCATGGTGGAGGCGGAAGAAGTTTAAAAGGGCTAAATGCCAGCGAGTTGATAATCGCGCACGGTGCGCGATATTTTTGCAGGCTGAAGACGACCAAGCGAAAGAAGCGGTGACACCGGCCGCCCAGTTCCCAGCTGGCTGATATGACGGAAGGTTCGTGCGTGGCTTTGTTTAGAACCCCTTATCGCCTTGTGCACTGCGCCATCGACTTAGCCAGGAACAACGATATTAGGACTTGCTATCTAATACGAATTGGCGCGCAGAGCCGCCGTCATCGGGCAGCAGGGCAGCAGGGCAGCAGGGTGTATGTGGTGTATGGTGTATGGGAGGTGACGAGGACAAGAATGGGCAGCTGCGTCATGCCCAAAAAAACAAACAAGCAATGACTTATGTACGTGGATAGTAGTATCTGTATGTACTTACACTCAAGGACTTGTCTCCGGTCCGGATGCGATCTGCGGACAGGGCTGCCGACGGGAGTGGGAGGGTGGAACGCTGGGTGGGCTGGGGCTGAGTGGGCTGGCGGGCGTTGGGGGGAACGATGGGAGAGACAGAGCCGAGTATTTCCTCGAGGCCAGCGGCTTTCAGCGGCAGTGGAACAAGCAACGGTCCCGCGAGCTGATAACACAAATGATAACGACGGCCACCAGAGCAGGAGGGGGACGACGCGGTCAATAAGTAATTACGAGGCCGGCCTGTGCAAAACCCACGCCCAGTTCTAGAACGCTGCGATTGACGACGACAACGGCCCTAGCTGCACCGTCGGGATACGGCTGCTTGGGTATGTGGGGAACGATTCGTGATAGCCATCACGACAGACCCGTTGCCGTGATAGCATTCCAGCACGCAATGCCGCCGCCGTCTGGGCGCTGACTCCCCGCCCGCCTGCAACCCCCCACCCGCATCCACACCACGCTGCCTCAGACTCAGGCTCCGTCTCGTCCGGTGTGAATAGAATCGTCGTAGTGGCCAATCCTGCGCCCGTAGCCATCACGCCCTGCACTGCGCTGCACACTCGTCCAGCAAATGGCGCTCCGAGCCACACGCACACGCACACGCAAACCAACGCCCATCAAGGTCCACGCTGCGCCGCCATGGCCTGCCTCTGGTAGCGCCGCTCCCCTTACTTGGGTACTCGTTCACACCATCCCACCGTCTGCGAGTGCCTGCCTATCGGTGCTACTACAACATGCCCAATTCCAGCGTGCTGTCCATATTACGTGCCTACTCAACACAATGAAGCCATATTGCGAATGTTCGCCATGTCGGCCCAATGGGGTAATCCGGTGCTTTGCGGCACCCCCTCCACCCATTGCCGCACCCTTCGCTTGTTTGCTTATCCGCAACCACCCATGTATGCACCTCCAAGTGCACCTATCGCCGGATGACTAGGCTGCCACACCTCCCTCTTTTGCCTTGCCCATACCGCGCTGCCAGCCCGTTGCGTTTGACCGGCCCTCTGACTGTGCATAGCAAAGATGCGGGTCCTATTTTGTTTTCTACTCCTCGCGTATAGTAGCTACCTCCCTTAGCGGCCGCGCAGCAAAGGCCCGACAACCACAGACTACTCGCCTATCCGCCGTCCCAGACATAGTGAATCATCAAAATTTCTGTCCTCTCCCGATCCTGAAACCTTGCCGCTGCCGATAATCCACAATATTAACACCGTACGCGCACTTCAATTCGTACGCACCTCGCATGTGACGGGCAAGACTTTTTCCCTTTGCAATCCATGTCATATCATACAGCAAACAGGTTATTTGTGCTCTGGCCGCTTGCAATTCTCCAGATCTGGATCGGCGTTGATGTTGGATAAAACGGGCCTTCCTGGATATGCTCAGGCACCAGCCGCCACTCAATCCGTTCGAAACTGAACCTGTTCCGCTCTACCCCACAAAAGTCAGCAAACATCGTACCCAATGTCGTAACCCCGACCGCATAATACCACGCAGGGAGACCCACCACACGCTTTCAAGAAAGTCTCGAACGTCTGCTCGTTGCGGATGGTCGCAGAAATAAAAACTAGGAGCGCCGGGTTCAGGTCGAAGAATTCTCTCAACGTCGAAACCAAGCGTGGGATGACCGACTTGTCATAGGTCTGCAGCGCTGTCAAACCCACTTCTCCGCGACACCGCCGTCATGGTAGCTTACCACGTCTGCTCCTATCACCACGTCTGGAACCTCCATTCCGTAGTCTTCTGAAAATGTTGTTGCGTCGACTGGATAGCCCCACTTGAGTGCTGCTGTACGCACTTGACAGCTAGAATCGTCATCGACATCGAGTCCGTTCAGAAAGAGATTGGTCTTGATCGCATCCACCACCGCCTCATCGCCGTCCGTGGACACGATACCAGCCACATCCAGGTGCTTCGCACACAGTATGGATAGCATACCCGTCCCCGCACCAAGTTCAAACACCCGTTTCTGATTGATGAACACGTGGCCAGACTCGGATGCAAGGTAGGATCCGAGCAGTAAAGCGGCTTCCCATGTTCGCAGACCCGTCGTTCCAGACGAAGAAATGACGGAACGGGCCTCCAATAGCGTCACGGCACGCTCACCGGAATCGCTGTCGTCAGTCGACTGTTGGGGGAACGAGTACGTCACAAAGGCTTTCTGCTGAGCGGCATCCGTTTCAGAAGGTAAGCTGGCCACAAGTAAAGTTGTCATTGCCTCCATGATATCATCTGAGATTTCCTATAACAAGGTAGGAGGGGCAAGTCAGCGGATGCTGCAACAGGTTGATTCCTGTACATGAAATATCTTTTGCTATGGTACATGGCTGTACACAGTAAAGGCAGGAACCGCAATGAAGAGATAGGAGACCATACATCCTCCTCAGGGTCTGTCATGGACCGCTCGAGTTTCCCGACAAGCTCCTTCAGAACCCTAAGCTGGTAGCGAGCCGGTGGTGGCGAGGAAATCTTGGATGGATCGAACAAGTTGCCGAACAGCCATGCCTGCACCAGGGGCCTCTTCAAGGTTGCATCGTCCGGCCATCTCAGCTGTTGTGGCTCGACCAGTTGGAAGTACTGGCGTTGCAGGACGCGCAACTGCGCCAGCTGTTCAGGGTTTTCCATAGCGGGGGTAGCGTTGAGGATAGTCTGAATAGCCTTTTTGAAAGTTCAACTAGTTCAGCGCCAAGTGTAAAAGACCTGCAGGCTCGTGGGTGATAATCAGCAGTCGTGTTCCTGCCCTTCGACCGCTTACCTAATTTTGCAGCGGGGCGTCTTGGCAGTCTAAGCGAGGCAGGCGCACCGCCGACCGCCGACACGACGCACCGCAAATTCGACATCTCTATCCCGCCGCCAGCTACTAACCACAGCGAATCGACAAACAGCAGGATCGATCTCTGTCCAGTACGTGCAACTTACAAGCCTGCTCGCCCTACTGTCATTTGTGAACCGACGTCTAACAGCCGTCGCTGCAGGTCGAACTTATCCATCATGGCCGACTCTCAAGTTACCCTGCGCACGCGCAAGTTCATCCGCAACCCTCTTCTCGGACGCCGTCAGATGGTCGTGTAAGTGCAAACGACACCGAAAAAAAACATAGCAATTACACCGGACAAGGTGATTGTGGAAAAGGGAATTGATGAGTCTGACGGGAATTGTGTACAGCGACGTCCTCCACCCCAACCGCGCAAACGTTTCCAAGGACGAGCTCCGTGGCAAGCTCGGTGAGCTGTACAAGGCCAAGAAGGAGGATGTTTCCGTCTTCGGTTTCAAGACACACTTTGGTGGCGGCAAGAGCACCGGCTTCGCTCTCATCTACGACAGTGCCGAGGCCATGAAGAAGTTCGAGCCCCGCTACAGGCTAGTACGATACGGCATGGCCACCAAGGTCGAGAAGGCCAGCAGGCAGCAGCGTACGTTTCCCTCGCCGATACCCTACATGGTCTTGTGGATCAAGCATTGGTTCTATGAATAAAGGCACATGTGGTAGAAGGATTCAAAAAAAAGGAGAGATTGAAAAGGACATGAATATACTGACTAGGGCAAACAGGCAAGCAACGCAAGAACAGGATGAAGACTTTCCGAGGCACAGCCAAGGCCAAGGGTGGCGCGAAGAAGGAGAAGAAATAAGCGGCTGGAGTGGGCTGCTGCTGACGATGATGACGATGATGATGACTGGTTACAAAGGTCATTGTTTGGGGGGGTCGAGAGTGGCGGTTTCTCTGGAACTACTACTGTTCCGCCTGCTGCGGTTTCTTCATCATGGTGGGAACGGAGTTGCGTCTGCGGGCATGGGCATGTTTAGCTACCATTGCCTGGAAAACTCTTGCGGATGGACACGACAAGACGGATGGCGTTTGAGATGAATTGTCTGCTAACCATCAATGCATATCATGGACTTTACGATCCTCCAATTGATTCGTCACCTGGCCCTAACTACCCCTTCCACCCCATTTTCTTGTCTCACTTTGCTCATGTGCAATTTGTATACGTGTTTTTTTTGGGGGGGGGGGGGGCGCTGGTACAAAAGGTGATTTATTATATCATTGTGATGTTGATGCTACTGTGTGAGCAAATCTATATAATACAGACTGAGAATTTTTCTACTTTTTTTTCTTTCCTTTCTACTTGTTTCTTTTACGATGGAGCACTACTGGCTTCAGTCTTGATTGGGGCTGGACTCTGATGATGTTGTTGTTGTTGTTGAGCACCCATCACTGGTGTTGTACTTGCACCTCGCTGTGCCTCGCCAGTTGGCTGTTGTCCCTGTGTGCGTCCTTGAACCGGAGTTTGTACTTGCTGTCCCTGTTCTCTCGCCGCCCCATTCCCAGTCGCATCTGCTCCAGCCGGTGTTTTCCCCGGCGTAGGCGTCGGTGGCGGAGGCGGCATATTCTTCTTTCCGGACCTGGGGCTCGACATTTCCACAAAGCGACGAGGCACATTTTTAGCGGGTGGCATGCCCAGAAACCCTTTGCCACCCATACTTTCCAGTGGCTTCGCTCGGCCTCCTACATAACAGCCCAGATCGCCGCTCCATACGAAGCCGCCACCGACAACGCCGCGGAGCACGCCAAAGGCGCGTGCATCCCGGTATGCAATGCCCGTTTCTGGGTCGCGGTATCGGGCAATTGTGTTGGTAATGGGACACAGCTTTTGACCTGGCTTGAGCACTGGTTCTGCATCGGCCTTGTGCGCAGCGTTTTTTCTGGGCTGCTTAGGAGGCGCAATGAGCGTTTGTTGGATGTAGTTTGCAGCTTCTGTAGGAGTCCAGTTAAAGAGTGCCGTGTAAAGCTGTACCAGTGCTGATTTATCCTTTTCCTTGAGAAGTGAAGCACTAGTTCTTGCTCTTGAAGATGTCGGGGCTGGCGCTTCGAGGTTGGGGAAATTGGAGAGGATGAGCAGGTTTCTGAGGGCTCTGCGGATGGTTTTGCGGCGCGGTGGTGCAGGCGGCAAGACGGGCTTTGGGAATTGGGCAAGCATAGCTTCGGGGCCGATTGATGGGTTGCCGTTGATTTGTGGCATTGATGGATCGTTGAGCGGAGGGTGTAGTGTTTCTGAGAACGAGGGCTGTGGGACTGGTTGTTGCTGTTGGAATGGAGATGCTTGAGTAAAAGGATTCGGCGGGAGATCACCAGGCAGTGTTTGGGGCTGTTGATTTTGAGCAAATTGGTCAATGCCGAAGAGGAATGACGAATCTTGGCTAGTGGGTGCGAACATGACATTGCTTGCCATTGACATGCCGTGAGAGCCCATGAAAACATCTCCACTCTGAGATGCTGCTGCTGTCCACGGCAAATGTAGTGAATCTTGCTGCACTGGTAACGTCGTGGGTATAGGAGGCGTATGGGATGTCCTTATTGGAGACTGGATTTGGGCTAGGGGGCCGAACACCGGTTGACTGTCCTCTGCATGGTTTTCAGATGGCTGCGTAGGGTTTTGTGTTAGGGGGTTTGTCTGCTCTGCTTCGGACTCTGGTTGAGCGATTGCCGCTTCTGCAGCCTCGATCTCCTTGTTGAATTTTTCTTCAAGTTGCTCCGGGGTTGGGGCGTCTTTGCCAGTGTACTTGAGCTTATCATCAACCCAAATGCCCGGCCCACTGTAGTAGCGATAAAAGGGCCCATCGATTTGGCGGTTCTTTAGGGCATCTATTTTGGCCTGCCTCTCCGCTGCCCTTGCTTCTTCGGCCTCCTCCCACCTGTGCAATGTCTTCTTATTTATGCGCTCGTTGCGGGCGGCCTCAGCGAGCCTCTCAGCTTGCGTCAAAGGCTTTTCCTTGGCCTTTAGTTTTCGCGCCTCGGCAGCCTTCATCATGGCCAGAGTGTCGTCCCGCCGCCGGTCCTTCTCCTTGAGCTTTGCCAGCGTAGCGTCCTTGTTGGCGACTGTCTGCTTCCGGTTGGACATTCGGACGGGACCGTCCTCTTCGGTGGGCAGCCATGATGCGCGTTCCGACTTCTTCTTAGGCCGTGGCGGGGCATGTGTAGGAGACTGGGTGCGGGGGACGTCAAGCTTGACTCTCTTGTGTGCAGCGGCGGCGCTTCTCGCAGCAAAGGGATTTGTCGCGGCTTTGCGCTTCTTGTTCCTTTCTTGCCGCTCGGCCCTGCGCAGCTCCTTCTCACCCGCGTCATCATCGTCATCGGCGCCGCCATCTTCATCTTCCGAGGATGACGAGTCTAGGTTGTAGTCATCGTGCTCATCTACCTGGTCGCCCTGGAACTCCTCCTCGTCGGGCGCCTCATCCCATTCCTCGCCCCATTGCTCGTCCTCGGCGGATTGCGCGAGCAGGGTGGACATGCGGTTGCCGGCATTGGATCGGCGGGCACGCGTCGTGACCATGAGCTCGGCGGGGGCTTCATCGTCGCTGTCATTGTCGGAATGTGGAGACGGGTCGCGGGGAGGAGAGGGTGGTGGGGCGTGTTGCATTGCGATGTTGGACGCGGCCTCAGACATTATCGGTGGTGAGTTGAAAGGCAGGCACGAGGGTTGGCAGGGAAGGTGCAAGCGAGCAACGATCAATCACGGCTAGGGCCTGAGGCACAATGAGCTGAATTTGGAAGGGCGACGTGTCTTCCAGAATAGTTCCATGAGACAGTATGAATCATTGGCTGGGCTAATGCAGTTATGCGTGCCGGGGCATTTTGTTTCAAGGACCGTTGTTGGGGAGGGTTGTCGCAACGGTCGGTGGTGATGGGTGGGCGGCACGCAAGTGGACGCGACGGGTGATGGGCGATGTGCTGTGCGCAATGGGCAATGGGCAATGGGCGATTCGGGCAGGCCGCCAACACCAATGCAGCGGGTAGGGGACAGCGGCTGGGCCTGACTCGGATCGGAGAGCAGCGACGACGAAGACGACGACGAGGATGACAGCGAGCGCGTATGCGTAAGTATGCGATTGATGGGCAGCGGCAGTTCCCAGGGCCCGCAGCATGTCACTGGCCCCCGAGTGTGGTGGAGAGTGCATCTCACTGCCGGCTTGTCTATGTGCAGCACATGTGGGCTAGTGGTAATCAATGCTCTAGAAGTATTATGCCCCATCGTGTGGCAGTCTGACACGCGCTCCAACAAGGGCGCTCAAGCGTCGTGTACTTGGCTCGGCCGTCGAGCAGGCCCTTGAGCGGCAGCGAGTGCCAGGAGCGGTCGAGAGCAGGCCTAAGGGCGCTGAGCAGTTGTCGAGTGCGCGGCGTGGTTGACAAAGTTTCATGGCCCGCAACTGCACAAGATTATCGTCTGGCTGGGCGGGGCCAATCAGCGGGTGCAGCCACAAGAGGCAAACCAGAGTCCACGTCAGATACTCGACTGACGGCCTTTCTCGACGCGCCTCTGTGTTTCAGACGCTGCGGGCATGCGCTGCACTCTTCCGCGGCCATCCAGGCGGGCCTTGTTCACACCAGAGGGTGACAGCCCCTGAAATCTGTCCAAAAGCAATAAGCTGCAGGCGTGCAGTCATGGTCCCAGCAGGAGCAGTAGCACGAGTAGAGAGATAGTCGTGGTAGGCCTGTGGTCGGTAGTATGTAGGCGCAGTAGGAGACGGCCGTACTACAAGAAACACTCGAGAGAGAGAGAGAGAGAGAGAGAGAGAGATAGAGACAGAGTAAACGAACAGCACCAGAGAAGCAACACAATCAACCTCTATCCACCCATCTACATATCCCTCTTTTTCTCCCGTATCCTCGTCCATGCAACCACGCCCAGCACGAGCGGCAGCTTCACCACCGTCCAGCCCAGCAGCACCAGTACAGCACCAGTACCGCAGCCGGCCGGCCGCCCGCATCGTGGCCGCAACCTGTAACGTGCCTGCTCTGCCAGCCACGCCCAATCAGGCTAGACCGCTCGTCTTCCTAGCCTGGCTCCCCATTTCTATCAAGCGAAACCTCACCCAAACCCTCCCACCGCGCATCATCATCCCATTGCTCATCCCTCTCCCTCCTTCCCCCCTCCTCCTCGACACCCTTTAGTGGTCTCTAGCTACATTGGCCATTCTCCATGAGCTCGAATGCTTAGTCGGCCTTCTGCTTAATCCCTATTACTTCTGTTCTCCAGGCACTCCGGTGATCTGTCTATTCCGCCCGCCTGCTGTACAGTTCCACTCCCCATAATCCCACCCCTCTCCCCACATACAGAGGCCCGCGACCGTCCCTCGACTGCGCACTGCCGCTCTCGCCCGTCACTCCTTCTCGACGCCCCGCCGTCCCTCTAGTCGACGGTTCTACTGCCTCTGTACATAAACGCCCCCCCCAGCTGCTCTTTGGCTCGCCCTGCGCTCTCGCCTAGTTCAGCTCGCTCCTCCGCACTCGTCTTGTCAGCGTTGACCCCCCCGCTGCAACATCGCCCGAATCCGGCCTATACTCGGCGCCGAATTGAAGCATCGCGAGTTCACTCTAGCCATTGCCGGCAATCGCGCACTATCCGGACTGGATCCATTCGCCGTCGTTGCCTCAGCCCCTCGGCATCGCCCTACCCACATTGCAACACGCTTGCCCTGAGCCGGGCCTCGCCTCTGCTGGAACTAATCCCTCTGCCTCACATTCCTTTGGCCGGCACCAACCTGCGTTTTTCTTTTGAAAACAATTACCCTGGCTTTTGGTAACCGAGTCATCACGACCGCCTTTTCCCGCATTAGATTATTGCCGTTACAACAGGGTCTGTAATCCATAATGGCTCCTCCCTCCAACCGCTCCGACCACCACATCAACCTCAACTATATCCCCCAGTTGCCCCAGCCCCCGCTCTCGGGCTCTTCCTCGACCGGTAACACGTCCCCCGTAGAGCCTCCCAACAGTGGCTCCCTCCGCTTCTCTGGAAATCCGTCGAACCCATTGGGCGCTGCAGCCGCCAGCACCAGGCTGGGCGCAGGCTCCCCATCGCACGAATATGGCGGTAGACTATTTTCCAAACGGTTTGTCGCATCTTGAAACAAGGCACGACTCGAGCTAACGCAATCACAGTGCACGTGAGATCCAAGCGCAAGAGGGCTTGAATCCGCAGATGTGGGGCCCTCCTACCAGTGGTAATTCGACTCCGTTGCGCGAGACCATTCCAGAGTCTCCCAACAGCGAGAATTTGAGCTTCCCCGACTTCAACAACTCTGCGCCAGAGACGGTTTCGGCTGCGCCCACGGGTCGCCGTGCCCGTGCCGGCACGCTTCCTTCGCGCTTCTCGCCTTCTGCTGCCCCACCGGGCCTCATGTCCGCCTCGTCACTCCTCCCAAAGAGCTCGCGACCGACTCCCTCCACCAGCCCCTTTAAGCCTGGCCCGGGTACACCCACCGATACTTCGAGCTTCAACGCTCTTGGATCTACAAATGCTGCAGCCAAGTCTGCATTGCTCTCGCGCCTTCGTGCGGGCTCAATGCCTCAGCGACCGGGCTACCTCCAGCCCTCTGTGTCTCCTTTCGGTAACCCCATCTTTTCCAATGGATGGTCAAACAGCCGCGACCGCAGCAGCACGCTCCAAAGCATTGCTTCTGTGCCCTCCAATGGCCCGGGCTCTCCTAGGTCCTCCTTCTCTCGTGACTCCCTTGCAGACACGGATGTCAAGACTCTAGACTACCTTGGCTTGGTCGACACTCCTCAACCTGCACGAGCTACTTTGGCCCCTTCAGACATTGAGCTTCTGTTGGAAAGCCAGCGGAATGCAAACAGCCACAGTACCAACAGCGCAAACCGCTTCCGTTCTTACTCTGTCAACGCAAAGGAAAAGTACGCCGAGGACGAGGAGGATCAGTATGGCGGCTACAGTGGCGCCATGACTCCTGCTGAAGCAAACGCACTGCTCATCCATGAAGCTGTCCGCCAGCACAACCTCGAGGTCCAGGCATTCGCCAACATTGCTTCCAATGCACGCCCCAGAGCTCGCACCGCCGGTGTGCTTGACGCCCCCTCGCGAGGCGCAATGCGTTCTTACTTGCCTGCCATGGGACGCTTTGACAACGGTATGGGCTCTGGTGACATGACAGAGGATGCCGAGTACAACCTCACAGAGGCTGTCAAGAAGCTTCATCTGCCAGGTTCCAACTTGGGAGACGACGGAACTTTGGAAGGACCCACTCGATCGCTGTGGCTTGGCAACATTCCCTCTTCAACCACCGTCTCATCGCTACAGGTCATCTTTGCTCAGTATGGTAACATCGAATCTACACGCGTTCTTACTCACAAGAACTGCGGTTTTGTCAACTACGAAAACCTCGAGAGCGCCGTCCAGGCCAAGTCTACTTTGAATGGAAAGGAAATCTTCCCTGGTGCCGGTCCTGTGCGCATTGGCTACGCTAAGATTCCAAGTGCGGCAGCAACCCCCGGTCACAACGGTCTCTTCCCCTCACCAAGCCCAGATCCCCTCTCCAAGGCCCAGGCTGAAGGTGCGGCTGGTTCTGCATCTGCAGCCAAGTTGAGTACCGTTCCTGCAAATGTGCCATTGACTACTCCGGAGCTCAGCGATATCCGTAACGACATTATTCAAATTGTGAAAGATTTGGGTGCTACCGACGACGAGCAGACGAGCATCTCTGCTAAGGTTGAGAAGGCTGTTCAGTTCAACAACTACGTGGATGAGATCCCATCGGTTGAGGAGCCAAGCCACACTCGCATCCATGATGCCCCCAGATTGCGCGAGATTCGCAAGCGCATTGACAATGGTTCTTGCTCAAAGGAAGATATTGAGAACATTGCCATGGCAATGCTTCCTGAAATTGCTGAGCTGTCTTCTGACTACCTCGGAAACACTGTTGTGCAAAAGCTGTTTGAGTTCTGCGAAGAACCCACCAAGGAGGCTATGCTTCGCGAGATTGCTCCTCACCTGGCCAAGATCGGTGTGCACAAGAATGGAACTTGGGCTGCACAGAAGATCATCGATGTCTCCAAGTCCGAAACGATGCAGAAGATGGTTGTCGATGCTGTTCGACCCTACGCCATGGCACTCTTCCTTGATCAGTTTGGCAACTATGTCATGCAGGGATGCCTGAAGTACCAGCAATTTAATGACTTTATTTTCGAGGTCATGCTCGGTAGACTTTGGAATCTCGCGCAAGGCCGATTCGGTGCTCGCGCTATGAGGGCTTGCTTGGAGAGCCACTACGCTACAAAGGACCAACAGCGAATGGTGGCTGCTGCGATTGCTCTCCACAGTGTCCAATTGGCAACCAATGCCAACGGAGCTCTCCTCTTGACCTGGTTCCTCGATACTTGCACTTTCCCAAGGAGACGTACAGTTCTGGCTCCTCGTCTGGTGCCACACATTGTCCACCTCTGCACCCACAAAGTTGCATACCTCACTGTTTTGAAGATCATCAACCAGCGCAACGAGCCTGAGGCTCGCGATACTATTCTGCAAGCACTCTTCTTCTCACCAAACGATCAGGTGCTGGAAAGCATCCTGGCTGACCAGAACTGCGGTGCTACCTTGATCTTCAAGGTACTTACCACACCCTTCTTTGATGAGCAAATCCGCGCCGATGTTGTGCAAAACGTACGCAATGTGCTCCTGCGCATCAAGGCGCAGCCACAACAAGGCTACAAACGTCTCATGGACGAGGTCGGCCTTTCTACTCGCGGCGGACCTGGTCCACGTGACCATTCCGCAACTCGACCAGCGTCCAAGGACAGCGTCGCATCTGGAGCACCCAACGCCGGCAACTTCTACCAGGCTCCTCCCCCCGGCTACGATCCTGTCGCGCTCCAGCGCACAACAAGCATGGATTCAAACGGCTTTGAGCAGTTCCCAATGGGCGGGTACATGCCAAACATGCCGGGCATGAACAACCAACAGCAGATGCAATACCAGCAGCTCTTGGCCCGACAGGGTCAGTTCTATCCTCAGATGAACGGCTTCCAACCGCCAGCTCCTGGTATGGATGCCTACCGCAACGCCTCACCTGTTGCAGGCCCGGGTAGCTTCAACGGATCACCGATGATGCAACCGGCTAACCTCGCCGGCCAAGGTATGCCGGGCATGTATCCTCCATACAGCATGTACGCGCCACCTCAGCACCAGCAGGCTCCTGGTGGCAACCAGCGACGTGGGAGAGTAAGCAGAAATGCATCCCCTGCGACGAGCATCCGCCGTTAAAATCTTGTTGAAGGGATGAAAATTTCTTGACTTTTGGAAAAGGGGGTTTTTGGGAGGCGTGGTGTAGGATGCCAAAGCTCTCATGCCCTATTTCTTTTCTTTAGATTTTGTGGTGTTGCAAATTGGGGGGAAAGCAGTACCATCTTCCTGTATATGATTCGGATCTGTGCACTTATGTATCTGCTGGCGAGCATATTGAAAGAAAAAACAGACGACGCGACCGACATAACACGATACATGTCCACGTTTCTTGGTATCAACTCTCCCTTTTATGTCTACTTTGGTCATATGGATTTTGCTTGGTGTTGGTTGGACAAGGGTCTCTTTTTCTTTCCTTTTTGTATTGTGCAACGAATTCTTTTTATATGTCTACTATCTATCTTCAAAAACAGTGTCTGGCTTCTCTATGTGATTGTGACATTCTCTCCGTACTGATATATCGTTAGTCCATCTGTCTTTTACTGGTCTTCCTTCTCTTCGTGTTCATCCTTCGCGCGACATGTGTGCAGTGATGTCGAGCTATGCAGACTACGAGGATGGTAGGTGGGCGTATATGGAATAACTTGAAAAACAAACAAACATGATATTTAATGTGTATATGTATGTATAAAGAGAGAGAGATGCAAATCAGTAAGACATGTCAACAGCAAGTAAGTTGAACGAGTTTCTTTATAACTTCAACACACGAGATACAAAACACTATGCCTCCATCCGCTGAATATAGAGGCGAGAGAGGTAAAGAGAAACAAGAAAGTCACAACACGCATGTCTCACCAGCAAGGAGTGGCGGCACACACTCTTCATCCTTCTCAGACGTTCAACCGACTAGTCGTGTTTGGAAGGTGCATGTTGAATCATTGGTAATGAGGAGCGGGGGGGGGGGGGACAAAGAAGCATATTTTTAGGTTATGGTATCATGGTAGGGGCTAAACCAGGCGAAACTCGTGTTTAGTGGGTATGATTCCAAAGCTGGAGTAGATGAATGCACGTACGGTGGGGGAGTAGAAGTGTTAAGTTCTGTGAGCGTTTTTTTTATCCTCCGCATCGTGGCTGAGCCCCGTTGGCTGTCGCGTTTGGATCATCTGCCATGAGAGGCGTGCAGTGGGTGGACGACTGGTTGGTAAGTATATAGTGGTAGTTTGGAAGTATGCAAAGGATAACAGTTAAGGTAAATAAGTTCTGGGGGGTGGGTATATATGTATGTATATAGTCGTGCGGTTGATTAGGTATGTTCAACCTACTAGGTTTTATGTACGCGTAAGCTATCCCGCACAAGATCATATAGGCACAGCTGGTGTTGGAATGATGAACTGACATGATAGGAGGTTGGCAGATTGTCATGACTTCGCATTCGTGTTGTATCTGACTGGCATTGGTTGTTCTGGTTACAAGTGCTGGGCTAGG